ATCTGTACGCTGAACAAATGATCTGAGAAGCTGGACTATATGAAGAAGAATGCAGAATCAGAATTGGAGGAAGATTCATTAACAACCTGCATTATGCAGATGACACCACCTTGCTTGCTGAAAGTGAAGAGGACTTAAAGTACTTACTGATGAACAAAGACTGCAGCCTTCAATATGGATTACAGCTCAACATAAAGAAAACAAAAATCCTCACAACCGAACTAAGAAGCAACATCGTGATAAACGGAGAAAAGATTGAAGTTGTCAAGGATTTCATATTATTTGGATTCACAATGAACACCCAATGGAGGCAGCAATCAAGAAATCAAACGACGTATTGCATTAGGCAAATCTGCTGCAAAAGACCTCTTTAAAGTGTTAAAAATCAAAGATGTTACTTTGAGGACTAAGGTGTACCTAACCCAAGTCATGGTATTTCCATTGTTGCGAAGAATATTAAATATACTATGGACTGCCAGAAGAAAGAACAAATCTGTCTTGGAAGGAGTGCAGACAGAATGCTCCTTAGAAGCAAGGATAACGAGACTTCGTCTCACATACTTTGGACATGTTGTCAGTAGGGACCAGTCCCTGGAGAAGGACATCATGCTTGGTAAATAGAGGGTCAGTGAAAAAGAGGAAGACCCTCAACAAGGTAGATTGACATAGTGGCTGCAACAGTGGACTCAAGCATAGCAACGAGTATGAAGATGGTGCAGGATTGGGCAGTGTTTCATGCTTTTACATAGGGTTGCTACGAGTCAGAACCAACTTGACAGCACCTAATAACAACAACATAAAAGGAAAAATTGATAAATTGTATTTCATCAAAAGTAAACACTTCTGCACTTCAAAAAACACCTCTAAGAAAATGAAAAGAGATGGTGCTGGCATAACTGGATATCCATCTGCATAAAAAAGAAACAAGACCCATACCTCACACCATGCGCAAAAACTAACTCAAAATGGATTAAAGACCTAAATATAAAATCTAAAACAATAAAGATCATGGAAGAAAAAATAGGGACAATGCTAGGAGCGCTAATACAGGGCATAAACAGAATACAGAATATAACTAACAATGCACAAACACCAGAAGAGAAACTAGATAACTGGGAGCTCCTAAAAATCAAACATTTATGCTCATCAAAAAACTTCACCAAAAGAGTAAAAAGACAGCCTGCAGACTGGGAAAAAAGTGTTGGCTACTACATATCTGATCAGGGTCTAATCTTTAAAATCTATAAGATACTGTAAAACTTCAAACACAAAAAGACAAATAACCCAATTAAAAAAAGGGCAAAGATATGAACAGGCACTTCACCAAAGAAGACATTGAGGCGGCCTTGTGTCATTTGTTCATTCTTTTGGGAGTCCATGGTATATTCAATATTCTTATCCAACACCACAATTCAAAGGCGTCAGTTCTCCTTCAGTCTTCTGTATTCATCGTCCAGCTTTCACATGCATAAGAAGTGATTGAAAACACCATGGCTTGGGTCAGGCGCACCTTAGTCTCCAAGGTGACATCTTTGCTTTTCAACACTTTTGAAGAGATCTTTTGTAGCAGATTTGCCTAATGCAATGTATCTCTTGATTTCTTGACTGCTGCTTCCATGGGTGTTGATTGTGGATCCAAGTAAAATGAAATCCTTGACAACTTCAACCTTTTCCCTGTTTATCATGATGTTGCTTATTGGTCCAGTTGTGAGGATTTTTGTTTTCTTTATGTTGAGGTGTAGTCCATATTGAAGGCTGTGGTCTTTGATCTTCATCAGTAAGTGCTTCAATTCCTCTTCACTTTCAGCAAGCAAGGTTATGTCATCAGCATAACACAGGTTGTTAATGAGTCTTCCTCCAATCCTGATGCCGCATTCTTCTTCATATAGTCCAGCTTCTTGAATTATTTGCTCAGCATACAGATCGAATAGGTATGGTGAAAGGATACAACCCTGACTTACACCTTTCCTGGCTTTAAACCACTCGAATGACTGTTTCTTGGTCTATGTACAGGTTCCTCATGAGCACAATTAAGTGTCCTGAAATCCCATTCTTCACAATGTTATCCATAATTTGTTATGATCCACACTGTTGAAGGCCTTTGCATAGTCAATAAAACACAGGTCAACATCTTTCTGGTATTCTCTTACTTTCAGCCAGGATCCACTTGACATTAGCAATGATATCCCTGGTTCCGCATCGTCTTCTGAATCCGTCTTGAATTTCTGGCAGTTTCTTGTCGATAGCTTGCTGCAGCTTGTTTTGAATGATCTTCAGGAAAATTTTACTTGCATGTGACATTAATGATATTGTTCGATAATTTCTGCATTCAGTGGGATTACCTTTCTTGGGAATAGGCATAAACATAGATCTCTCCCAGTCAAATAGCCAAGTAGCTGTCTTCCAAGTTTCTTGGCATAGATGAGTAAGTACCTCCAGTGCTGCATCTGTTTGTTGAAACATCTCAATTGGTATTTCATCAATTCCTGGAGCCTTCAGTGCATCTTGCACTTCTTCCTTCAGTACCATCAGTTCCTGATCATACGTTACCTCTTAAAATGGTTGAACATCGACCAATTCTTTTTGGTATAATGACTCTGTGTATTCCTTCCATCTTCTTTTGTTGCTTCCTCCTACATCGTTTAATATTTTCCCCATAGAATCCCCTTCAGTATCGCAACTTGAGGCTTGAATTTTTTCTTCAGTTCTTTCAGCTTAAGAAATGCTGAGCGTGTTCTTCCCCTTGGATTTTCTATCTCCAGCTCTTTGCACATGTCATTATAATAGTTTATTTTGTCTTCTTGAGCCACCCTTTGAAATCTTCTGTTCAGCTCTTTTACTTCATCATTTCTTCCGTTCACTTTAGGTACTTGATGTTCAAGAGCAAGTTTCAGAGTCTCTTCTGACATCCATTTTGGTCTTTTCTTTCCTGTCTTTTTAATGACCTCTTGTATGATATCCTTCCACAATTCATCTGATCTTTGGTCATTAGTGTTCAAGGCATCAAATCTGTTCTTGAGATGGTCTCTAAATTCAGGTGGGATATACTCAAGGCTGAACTTTGACTTTCATCGACTTGTTCTAATTTTCTTCTACTTCAACTTGAACTTGCATATGAGCAACTGATGGTCTGTTCCACAGTCAGCCCCTGGCCTTGTTCTCACTGACGATATTGAGCTTTTCCATCGTCTCTTCCCACAGATGTAGCGATTTGATTCCTGTGTATTTCCTCTGGCAAAGTGAAAAAAGGTACTTGCAATGAAGAAGTCATTGGTCTTGCAAAATTCTATCATGTGGTCTCCGGCATTGTTTCCGTCACCAAGACCATATTTTCCAATTACTGATCCTTCTTCTTTGTTTCCAACTTTCACATTCCAATCTCCAGTAATTATCAATTCATCCTGATTGCATGTTCAGTCAATTTCAGACTGCAGAAGTTGGTAAAAATCTTCAATTTCTTCATCTTGGCTTTAGTGGTTGGTGCGTAAAGTTTAATAATGGTCGTATTAACTGGTCTTCCTTGTAGGCATATGGATATTATCCTATCATTAACAGCATTGTACTTAGATCTAAGTGAATAGATCTTGAAGTGTTATTTTTGACAATGAGTGCAATGCCATTCTTCTTCAAGTTGTTGTTCCTGGCGTAGTAGACCATATGATTGTCCGATTCAAAATGCCCAATACCAGTCCATTTCAGCTCACTAATGCCTAGGATATCAACATTTATGCGTTCCATTTCATTTTGTGATGACTTCCAATTTTCCTATATTCACGGAAACCCTAAATAGTGCAGCAAATCATTCCTAGGAATCTATCCAAGAGAAATGAAAACCTATGTCCACAAAAAAACACATAGGCAAATGTTTATAGCAGCAGTATTCATAATAGCCAAAAACTTACAATAATGTAAATGTCCATCAACTGGTGACTGGATAAACAAAATGTGATATATCTATATAAGGGAATACTGTCCTTCAGTTAAAAGGAGTGAACTATTGACACATGCTACAACAGTGATGAACCTCAGAAACATTATGCTAAGTGAAAGAAGATGTATGCTTCCATTTATAGGAAATTTTTTTTTTGTAAAACACATCCCAATTTAGCAACCCAGATATGTTAAAATGTGAAAAAATTTGCATCTTGGAATCAATGAAATATAGTAATTATAGTAGAATTGTGACTAATTTTTAACAATTTGCAATTTTTCTTTAATATTGTTGGATTGAATTTTAACAGTTTCGTTAAAGTATAATTAACATACAATAAATTGCACATGTTTAAAGTGTATACTTTTTAAATCTTGACATATATATATATACCTGTGAAATTATCACCACAATTAAGATAATGAACATGTCCATCATCCCCAGAAGTTTTCTTGTGCCCTTTGTAATCCTTCTCTCCTACATCCGTTCACTCCTTCTTTCTTTTTTGTCAGGCTTCTTTCACTCATCATATGTTATTTGATTAGAAATTATTATAAGATTCTCTTCTAGTAATTTATATATAGTTTGAATTTTTCCATATAAAATTTTTACTTTGAACTTTAAACTTGTCTTATTCAAGTTATAATTGATATGCTGGTAACTTGACAGATAATATTTCTTGTAAAGAAATTAATTCTACCACTTAAAGTTAGTTTGAAATTATGTGTCAAAGATTAGAAGCTTTCTGATGACTAGAGCTATGGGTTATCAGAATCAAGCCATGGTGAAAGATCTCCTTTCTTTAATGACAATATATAATGTCTTCTTAAATTTTAAATATCTTTGAAAATATTAAAATAAGTAATAGGGTAGGCAGGTAACTTTCTGTGGTGGTTTCACCTATTTTGGAAATAGGGAAACACAGTGAAGATTTTCAGGTCTCTTCTCTCTGAATCTACAATGTTGAAATTATCTGGATAACTGAATGATACTAAGGAATAATGTGGATTTCGTTGGAGTTTGTTTCATTTGCCTGTGACTTATTGTACTTTTTTTTTCTTTTTTTCAGACCAAATGTTTATTCAGCTTGTTCCGAGATACTGGTCATCATTTGATCCAGAATAATAAAGTAGGAGGAATTATTTCTCCACAGTCCAAACCAGTTATTGCTAAGAACCTGAAAGAAGATAAAACAATCAAAGAAAAAGATATGGTAAGGAAGGGCTAGGACTGGGGACGTGATGGGTTGTTGGGAAAGCAGTGATTTTGCCTGTTTTATTACAATTCAGAGGCTTGGGCTGGTTTCTCATTTGGTAAATTGTATCAATTTAGTATGCATCGTGATGCATTGTAATGATCACTGTGTCTTACTGCCTTGCTGTCATTGTGAAAACCATGTAAAACTTTAATTTCTGAGGTGTATTCATTTTCTTTCAGCAAACACTTAGTATAAAATCTCAGAGCTCAGATACTCCTTTGGAAGCTGAACCTTCTCCATACCACAATCCAGAAGGACAGGTAATTATGTATAAAGAGTTGAGCAAGTCAATATGATAGAATGGAAGAAGCTCAGGGCAGGAGATTTGAGTTACCATCCCATATTTACCCAGGACTAGTTTATGACCTTCAGCAAATTCCTTTGTTTTGTTGCAACTCTGTAAAATGATTAACTTTAAGGTCCTTTCTAGCATTATAATTTTGTCTTTTAATAATTCTGTTAAGCACTATGAAGGATGCAAATATGCATCATCTGCAGAATTTACTCATCTGCTCTCGGAACACTAAATAATCTGGTAGGAAAAACAGTCAGGCTTTACTAACCAAAATACAGAATTTTGATGAGTACTGTAATAGAGATACAAATAAAGTTCTCTGTTGGCTAAGAGGTGATAAAGATTAATATGTACTAGGATGGGGCCATTTCGGGGAAGGCTTCATGGAGGAGGTGGTATCCAAGCTAAGTGGTGAAAGATGAAGAGAACTGTTTGCCAGATGAAGATGGAGAGAAAGGTATTTCAGGGTGAGGAAACTGCTTGAGTCAAGGCATCAGAGAAGGGAATAGAGTTCAGGGTACGTCAATTACTTCAGTATGTTGTTGTTGGTTGCCACTGAGTCGATTCTGACCCATGGCGACCACACGTGTGCAGAGTAGAATTGCTCCATAGGATTTTCAAGGCTATGACCTTCCCATAACAGATTGCCAGGCTTGTCTTCCAAGCCTCCTCTGGGTGGGTTTGAACCGCCAATCTTCCAGCTAGTAGTTGAACACTTAACTGTTTGCACCACTCAGGGACTCCAAATTCAGTTAAGGAGAGTGAAAAGAAAGGAGAGGTTCTAGAAGGAGATGAGAAAGAAGAGGGGCTGAATCAGGTTGTGGTAAGCCTTTGAAAGCCTTGCTAAAGTTTGGACTTTATTTTATGGGTGATGAGGGCCTCTTGAGCCTCATTATGGAGACTCACATCAAAGGTTTTTAAGTCGAGTGAAGACTTCATCTGTGCTTTGTGACAGAACTCTAGCAGGGATTGAAGTTGGCAGGGTGTAGGGGCTTGAGACATCAATCTATAGGTTTTTCTTGTAGTGCAGGTGAGTGGTGATGACAGTTTGATTTAGGACAGGTGTTGTAGTAAGGCACGGGAGAAAGATGTGGCAATTTGCTTCTGTAAAGATTTATAGCCTTGGAAACCATGTGGGGCAGTTCTACTGTGTCCTATAGGGTCGCTATAAAATCAACTACAAAATCAACTACATGGAAACTAAATAACACCCTGCTTAAAAACCACTGGATAACAGAAGAAATCAAAGATGGAAGCAAAACATTCCTAGAATCAAATGAGAATGAAAGCACATCATACCAAAACCTTTGGGACACAGCAAAGGCAGTACTCAGAAGTCAATTTATAGTGATAGATGAACACATCAAAAAAAAAAGAAAGAGGCAAAACAGTAGCTTTACAACTCGAACAAACAGAGAACAGCAAAAGAAGCCCACAGCCACCAGAAGAAAGGAAATAATAAAGATCAGAGCAGAAACAAATGAAATAGAGAACAGAAAAACAATAGAATCAGCAAAACCAAAAGTTGGTTCTTTGAAAGGATCAACAAAATCGACAAACCACTAGCCAAACTGACAAAAGAAAAACAGGAGAGGACGCAAATACCCCCAAAGAAAAAATGAAATGGGGGACTTTACAACAGACCCAACTGAAATAAAAAGAATCAAAACAGAGTGTTGTGAAAAACTATACTCCCAACAAATTTGAAAATCTAGAGGAAATGGACAAATTTCTAGAAACACTCTACCTACCCAGACTGTCACAAATTGATTTTGAATATCTAAACAGACCCATAACAAGAGAAGAGATTGAAAAGGTAATAAAAAAAAAAAAAAAAACTCCCAACAACATCAAAAATACTCTGGCCCAGATGGTTTCACTGGAGAATTCTACCAAACATTCAGAGAAGAGCTTACACCAGTACTACTCAAACTATTTCAGAACATAGAAAAGGAAGGGATACTTCCAAATTCATTCTGTGACACCCTGATACCAAAACCAGGCAAAGACACCACAAAAAAAGAAAATTCCAGACCAATATCTCTCATGAATATAGAAGCAAAAATTTTCAACAAAATCCTAGCCAAGAGAATTCAGCATCATATCAAAAAAATAATACACCATGATCAAGTAGGATTCATACCAGGTATGCAAGGAAGGTTCAACATTAGAAAATCAATCAACATAAAGAAAAGAAAACAATCACATGATCATCTCAATGGACACAGAAAAGGCATTTGACAAAGTCCAACACCCATTCCTGAAAAAAGCTCTCAATAAAATAGGCATAGAAGGGAAATTTCTCAACATAATGAAGGGCATCTATACAAAACCAACAGCGAACATCATTCTTAATGGAGAGAGGTTGAAAACAGGAAGAAGACAAGGATGCCCTTTATCACCACTCCTATTTAACATTGTGCTAGAAGTCCTAGCTAGAGCAGTAAGGCAAGAAAAAGAAATAAAGGGCATACAAATTGGTAATGAAGAAGTAAAACTGTCCCTATTTGCAGATGGTATGATACTATATATATAGAAAACCTATAAGACTCCACGAGAAAACTACTGGAACTAATAGATTTCAGCAGAGTAGCAGGACACAAGATAAACATACAAAAATCCATTCGATTCCTATATACCGATAAAGAGAATGATGAAAAGGAAATGAGGAAAACAATACCATTTATAATAGCCTCTAAAAAAATAAAATACTTAGGAATAAGTCTCACCAGGGATATAAAAGATCTATACAAATAAAACTACAAAACACTAGTGCAGGAAACCAAAAGATATCTACATAAATGGAGAAACATACCATGCTTATGGATAGGTAGACTCAACATTGTGAAAATAACAATTCTACCCAAAGCAATCTGCCAATACAGTGCAGTCCTCATCCAAATACCAACAACATTCTTTAAAGAGATGGAAAAAACAATCATTAATTTTATATGGAAAGGGAAGAAGCCCCAGATAAGTAAAGCATGATTGAAGAAGAAGAATAAAGTAGGAGGACTAGCACTACCCGACCTCAGGACCTATTATACAGCTACGGTAGTCAGAACAGCCTCGTACTGGTACGATGACATATGTTGACTAATGGAACAGAATCGAGAACGCAGATATAAATCCATCTACCCACAGTCATCTAATCTTTGACAAGGGCCTGAAGTCCATCAAATGGGGGAAAAGACAGTCTTTTTAACAAATGGTGCTGGCAATACTGGATGTCCATCTGCAAAAAAAAGAAACAGAACCCATACCTCACACCATACACAAAAACTAATTCAAAGTGGGTCAAAGACCTAAATATAAAACCAAAAACTGTAAAGATCTTAGAAGAAAAAGTAGAATCAATGCTAGAGACCCTAATACATGGCATTAACAGGATACAAACCATAACTAACACTATACAAACTCCAGAAGATAAGCTTGATAACTGGAATCTTCTAAAAATTAAACACCTATGCTCATCAAAAAACTTCACCAAAAGAGTAAAAAGAGAACCTACAAACTGGGGAAAAAATTTTGGCTGTTACAAATCAGACAAAGTTTTAACCTCTAAAATTTACAGGAAAATCCAACACCTCTACAACAAGAAGACAATCCAATTAAATAATGGGCAAAGGAAATGAACAAACACTTCACCAAAGAAGACATTCAAGCAGCTAACAGGTACATGAGGAAATGCTAGTGATCACTAGCTGTTAGAGAAATGCAATCAAAATCATGATGAGGATACCATCTCACCCCAACATTACTGGCACAAATCAAAAAAACAGAAAATAACAAATGTTAGAGAGGCTGAGGGAGCTTGGGACTCTTATGCACTGCTGATAGGAGTGCAAAATGGTACAACAATTTTGGAAAACAATATGGTGCTTCCTTAGAAAGCTGGAAATAGAAATACCATACTATCCAGCAGTCTCACTCCGAGGAACATATCTTAGAGAAATAAGAGCCATCACACAAATAGACATTTGCACACTTGTGTTCATTGCAGCATTGTTCACAGTGGCAAAAAGATGGAAACAACCTAGATGCCCATCAACAGATGAATGGATAAACAAACTATGGTACATACACACAATGGAGTACTACGCAACAATAAAGAACAATGATGAATCTGCGAAGTGTCTCACAGTATGGATAAATCTGGAGGGCATTATGCTAAGTGAAATAATCACAAAGGGATGGATGTTGTATGAGACCACTACTATAAAAACTCATGAAAAGGTTTACAAACAGAAAGAAACAATCTTTGATCGTTACAAGGAAGGGGAGGGATAGGGATGGAAAAACACTAAATAGAAAATAGATAAGTGGTAACTTCATGAAGGGTAAGACAGTACACAATACTGGGGAAGCCAGTACAACTTGTTCAGAGTAAGGTCATGGAGGCTCCATGGACAAGCCCAAACTCCCTGAGGGACTGAATTACTGGGCTGAGGGCTGTGGGGACCATGGTCTCAGGGAACGTCTAGCTCAATTGGCATAACATAGTCTATAAAGAAAATGTTCTGCATTCTACTTTGGTGAGTAGCGTCTGGGGTCTTAAAAGCCTGTGAGCAGCCATCTAAGACACTCCACTGGTCTCACCCCTTCAGGAGCAAGGGAAAATGAAGAAAACTAAAATCACAAGAGAAAGATAAGTCCAAAGGACTAATAGACCACAACTACCATGGCCTCTACCAGACCGAGTCCAGTACAACTAGATGGTGCCTGGCTACAACCACTGACTGCTCTGACAGGGATCACGATAGAGGGTCCTGGACAGAGCTGGAGAAAAATGTAGAACAAAATTCTAACTCACAGAAGAAGACCAGACTTACTGGCCTGACAGAGACTGGAGAAACCCTGAGAGTATGGCCCCCGCACACCCTTTTAGCCCAGTAATGAAATCACTCCTGAGATTCAGCTTTTAGCGAAAGATTAGAAAGGCCCAAAGACAAAACGAGACTAAAGGGACACACTAGCCCAGGGGCAAGGACTAGAAAGCAGGAGGGGACAGGAAAGCTGGTAATAGGGAACCCAAGGTCGAGAAGGAAGAGTATTGACATGTCATGGGGTTGTTAACCAATCTGATAAAACAATATGTGTACTAACTGTTTAATGAGAAGCTAGTTGTTCTATAAACCATCATCTAAAGTACAATAAAAAAAATTGGGGATAACTGGAAATAATTGGAATACCTAACAGTAATAGAATATAGATAACATGTAATATGTCCTTACTATTGAAAATTAGGCAGAAGTTTAAATATTGGCTCTATATGGCACATCTAATATGGATAAATTACTGAGATATATTGTTGAGCATAAAATTAATAAATTGCACAAAAAGAAAAAAGAGAGGTTGATTTGGGAAAATGATAAGTTCAGTTTTGGACATGTTGCCTTTAGGATGCTGGCAAAACATCTAGGTAGAAATATCTAGCAGGTCAGAGGTGGCAGACGGTGATGAGAATGCTAGGACTGGGAATGTCGGGGTTGTGAAGAGAGAATATTTCTTCAGCTCCCATGAAACAGGGTTAGTGGAAGAAAGAATGACATTCACTGGAGACAGTTCTATGGATAGCACCATGACCAGGCTAAACAGGGCTTCAGCTGAGGTGGAAGTTTCCAGGAAAAAAAATGAAAACCCTTTCCTGTAAGAGATAGCCAAGATAGCCGTTGTTACTATATTTCTTTCAGGTTATTTTTCTATGCAAAAAAATATTTTAGCAGTTGAGATCACACCATATATATGCGTGTGTGTATGTATATATAGTATATGCGGTTTTCTCCCTTATTGTGAACATTATTTTTATGTTACTAAAATTTTTTTATAAATATAACTTTCTCTGGGAAAAATAAAGTAGAGAAAAATGTTTCTACAGCAATATTTAGAAGCAGGCACGTACCTTGTGTTGGAAATTCAGCTGGACAAAGCCTTGGTTCCAAAGCGAATGCCGGAGGAGCTAGCCAGAAGGTAGGTAGAAATGGTGCTCATGCTTGTTTTGTAAAGATGATATAGGGATAAATACAAGGAAGTAGATTTTTCTCCACAAATATAATTTCCCTTGGGCTAAGCAGCTGTTTTCTGTGGTTTTTTTTTTTCCCAGATGAAGTTTCTTTTGTTGTTATGTTTTCTTACTACAAAAGCAGTGTTATGGATTGAATTGTGTCCATCAAAAATATGTGTTGTAATTCCTACTCTATGCCTGTGATCACAATCCCATTTGGGAATGGGTTATTTCTGTTATGTTAATGATGCAGGATTAGTGTAGAGTGTATCTTGAGTTAATCTCTTTTGAGATATAAAAGAGATTTAAAAAGCAAGCTAAGAAACAGAGGTGGGGAAAGAGTGATGCCAAGCCACATGAAGATCACCCAGGAGCAGAAGCTCAGAAGAGACAAGGACCTTCCTCTAGAGCCGACAGAAAGAGAAAGCCTTCCCCTAGAGCTGGCACCCTGAATTCAGACTTCTAGCCTCCTAAACCTTGAGAATATAAATTTCTGTTGGTGAAAGCCATCCACATTGTGGTATTTCTGTTATAGCAGCACTAGATGAATAAGAAAAGCAGCATACACTCATTACAAAAAAAATTTAGAAATGAGAAAGAAAGTATATATAAACATCTACATTTTCTGCTCATCACTAACACTTCAGCATCTGTCCATCTGGAGTTATATTAAACTCCGTATATACATGCACACACACTTGTAATTTTTAGTAAACTAATTTCATATTGGAATCTTTTTTTATTTAGTATAATGTGAATGTCTTTCAAAGTCAATAAATATATGTGTGCAACATCATATTAATGCTTTATAGGAAACATCCCATTGTGTGGATGCATCATAATATCATTAACCAATTTTCTGCTATTTGTTGTTGTTATTAGGTCCATCGAGTGGCTTCTGACTCATAGCGACCCCATACACAACAGAATAAAACATTGCCCAGTCCTGTGCCATCCTCACAGTCATTGCTGTGTTTGAGCCCATTGTTGCAGCCACTGTTTCAATACATCTCAAGGATCTTCCTCTTTTTTGTTAACGCTCTGCTTTACTAAGCATTATGTCCTTCTCCAGGGGTTCCTTCTTGATAACATGTCCAAAGGATGTCAGATTCACCATCCTTGCTTCCAAGGAGCACTCTGGCTATACTTCTTCCAAGACAGATTTGTTCATTATTCTGGCGGTCCATTGTATATTCACTATTCTTCGCCAATGCCATAGTTCAAAGGCATCAATTCTTCTTCACTTTTCCTTATTCATTGTCCAACTATTGCATGCACGTGAGGCAATTGAAAATACTGTGGCTTGAGTCAGGTGCACCTTGGTCCTGAAAGTGACATCTTTGCTTTTTAACACTCTAAAGAGGCCTTTTGCAGCAGATTTGCCCAGTGCAATGTGTCGTTTGATTTCTTGACTGCTGCTTGTATGAGTGTTGATTGTGAATCCAAGTAAAATGAAATACTTGACAACTTCAGTTTTTTCTCCATTTATCATGATGTTGCTTATTGGTCCAGTTGTGAGGATTTTTGTTTTCTTTATGTTGTGGTATAATCGATACTGAAGGTTGTAGTCCTTCAAGACCTCTTTACTTTCAGCAAGCAAAGTAGTGTCATGGGCATAACACAGGTTGTTAATGAGTCTTCCTCCAATCCTGATGCCCTGTTCTTCTTCATATAGTCCAGCTTCTTGGATTATTTGCTCAGCACACAGATTGAGTAAGTATGGTGAAAGGATACAACCCTGATACACACCTTTCCTGGCTTTAAACCACACAGTATGCCCTTGTTCTGTTTGAACATCTACCTCTTGGTCTATGGGTCCTCATGAGCACAATTAAGTATTCTGGAATTCCTAGTCTTTGTAATGTTATCCATAATTTGTTGTGATCCACACAGTTGAAGGCCTCTGCATAGTCAGTAAAACACAGGTAAACATCTTTCTGGTATTCTCTGCTTTCAGCCAGGATTCATGTGACATCAGCAGTGATATCCCTCATTCCACGTCCTCTTCTGAATCTGGCTTGAATTTCTGGCAGTACCCTGTCTAGGTACTGCTGCAACCATTTTTGAATTGTCTTCAGCAAAATTTTTCTTGTGTGTGATATTAATGATATTATTTGATAATTTCTGCATTCTGTTTGGTCAACTTTCGTTGGAATGGGCACAAATATGGATCTCTTCCAGTTGGTTGACCAGGTAGCTGTCTTCCACATTTTTTGGCATAGACAAATGAGTGCTTCCAGCGTTTCATCTGTTTGTTGAAACATCTCAGTTGGTATTGTGTCAATTCATGGAGCCTTGTTTTTCGCCAGTGCCTTCAGTGCAGCTTGTACTTCTTCCTTCAGTGCCATCAGTTCTTGATCATATGCTACCTGCTGAAATGGTTGTACATCGACCACTTCTTTTTGATACAGTGACTCTGTGTATTCCTTCCATCTTTTTGATGCTTCCTGTGCCATTCAATATTTTGCTCGTAGAATCCTTAAAAATTGCAACCTGTGGACTTCCGGCAACATGGTGCTCTAGGGAGAGGCACCACACCGTCCCTCCACAGCAAAGATCCGAAAAACTAAGTCAAACAGAGAAAACAGCAATCCTGAAACCCTAAAACATCAAATGAAGAGATAAAGAACTCAGCTAAGAACCAAATGGAGTGAGAAACTGACAGAGAATGGAGAGTGAGGAGAGATTCATGCAGAGGTCTGCTCTCAGCTAACGTAGTGTGGATCCACCATCTTGGACTCCTACTGGAGACCAACAAACAGTGGGTATGAGAAAGCAGCTTCACAGAGCTTCCAGCAGGAGACAGAACAACTGGTAAACAGTGATATATGCTTTCCTACCCCCCACCCTTCTCACCCCAACTCGTTCTGCTCTGCTTCCCATGGCTACAGTCTCTTGGCCGGGAAGCACCAGCTGCTTGGATTCCACCCGCCCACCCTGGCTGACTCCCTGAGTGCCATTTGTTGGCTGCTGGTGCTTTTTTCCGCTTCTTTTGATTTCTTCCTTACTTCTCACCACCTCCTCCTCCTTTCGCTCAAATACCTGGTTCCGGGTGCCATCTTTGCTTCTTCCTCATGGGTTGCGGAGCTCCGTTCAAGTGTGGAACTGCCTCCCAGTCTGTGCTGCCACACTGGTGGGATCCCGGGGCTTTTTTTTTTGTTTGCTTGTTTTGAATTGTTTGTTTGTTTTCTTTTTCTTTTCTTGAGTTAGGAGCCCGTTCTGGCCAGGCAGTACTGCGTGGCTTGGGACCTACCCTCTCAGCTTGTGCAGACACGCAGAAGGATCCCCGAGGGCATTTCTTTTTTTGTGTTTTTTTTTTAAATTTTTTTTCCTGTTTTTTTGGGGGGGCTTTTCTTGTTCTTTTTGTTTTGTTTTGTTTTCTTTTACCCCTTTTCCCTTTTTTCTTTCTTTATTACTCAGTTTCTCATCTCTCTATACCTTCCTTCTCTTCCTGTCCCCTGAATACCTCTATGCATTCTAGCCAGGCTGTCCTTCAACACCTGGGAACAACTTCCCCGGACCTCACAGCTGCACCGGTAGGATCCCTGGGAGTTTTGCTGTTTTTTTTTTATTTCTAATATTTATTTATTCATTATTTTTTTCTCTTCTTCTTCCCCTTCTTGTTTTTTCCATTTCATAGTCTCTCATCTCTCCACTCCAATGGCAAGTTGCCCTAGCATTCTTTTTTGTTTGTTTGTATGTTTTTGGCTTCTGTTCCTCTCTTCTCTCTCCCACAGCTATCTTAGCTGCACACATCACAATCTCCCCTCTCCATCCTGCCTACCTGCACCGTGCACTTAACATCACACCACCAAGCAGCACAGGCACGGCTTACCGGAACCTGCCCTGCACTGATTACTGACCCACCCTGGTGTCTGTAGTTAAGTGCCACAAACAACCCATCCCAATAACACCTCTTCAGCTAGACCTGCCATTCTGTATCGTATCTGAGCGACTGACCCTGCCAATTGGAGAAGGAGGCGAAAAGTATCGTGCCCACAGAAGAATAAACAACAAAGAACACACAGCCCGCCTGCTCAGACATAACCAAAATAAAAAAAAAAGGATGAAACAAACAAATCTACAATCAATAAATGAGAAAAATAGCTACTGAATGGCCCGAAGACAGCAGACACTATCAAAACATTTACAAAAACAGGACAGGATGGTTCCAGTAAGCATCCAAAATAAAACACCACCTGTCTTTCCAGTAGAAGAAAAGGCACTAGAACTACCTGATAGGGAATTCAAATCTCTAATACTCAGAATTATCCAAGAGTTGAAGCAAAAAGCAGACAAAAATGAGGAAAAAATAGACAAATTCATGGAAAAGGCAGACAAATTCATGGAAAATACAGACAAAAAAAT